TTTTTTTAAAAAAAAAAAAAAAAAAAAAAAAAAAAAAAAAAAAAGGCACTTGATACAGATTTCTATAATCATAAGTGTGCACATTTTTTACAAACAAGTAAAAAAATAAAAATAAAAAAATAAAGACAAGTTGGAGGTTTTCCTAACTTTAAGAGATTATTTACGATGAATTTTAAGAACAGGATTTTTCTGGAACTTTTCAGGAATTCATCTTATGTTTTGTCTTTAGAACAATTTAAAGGAAAAGAATAAAGTTAAAACTATATTGCATTCCCAAAAACATTTAAGAATGTTCTTAAGTTAAAAAATTACAAGAAAACAGCAGCTTAGAAGAATTTTATTCATAAGAATATTTTGTGAATCTGCTCTGAATGAGCTCTTTTCCATCACAGTCACTCATTTCTATTATAGTGGCAGTTTTTGCCCAGTACTTCATACCTTATCCAGAAGACGAGCAGTCGTCCTGGGAGGAGGGCATTCAACTTCTTTCTGAACACAAAGGTCATCTAAGAACTTGCGCGTTTCTGTAAGAAAAAAATAAATAAAAAATTATGATGAACTTTAAAGGGTCAGTTCACCCAAAAATTTAAATTCTGTTATTAATTACTCCCCCTCATGTCGTTCTAAACCCGTAAGACCTTCGTTCATCTTCGGAACACAAATTAAGATATTTTTGATGAATTCTGAGAGCTCTCTGACCCATTATTTTTGTTTTCTTTCCGTACAAAAAGTATTCTCGTAGCTTCGTAAAATTACGGTTGAACCCCTGATGTCACATGGATTATTTTACCGATCTCCTTGCTACGTTTCTGGACCTTGATCGTGGTAATTACATTGCTGTCTATGGGAGGGTCAGAGAGCTCTCAGAATTCATCAAAAATATCTTAATTTGTGTTCCGAAGATGAACGAAGGTCTTACGGGTTTAGAACGACATGAGGGTGAGTAATTAATGACAGAATTTTCATATTTGGGTGAACTATCACTTTAATCATTCTAGCAACAGAGCCCCAGCATCTATGTTAGCATACGTCAAGTAATTTCCACGTGGTACCAATTTTCACAGATCTTCTCTGTGCTCGTTTTATGAACTGTAACCCTTACCATCACTGTCGTAGGTGTCAGGAGCTGGAAACTTCACCCCCAATTCCTTCTCCAGGTCTTGAGTCATGCTGATCCGTTTGAAGGGAGGAGTGAAGTCTATTTCATAGGCTTGTCCCTCTGGACCATCAGGATGATACATCACCTTATAACCTCCGGTAATGTGCTTCACCATTCCTGTGAAAGCAACAAAGAAATAAACAGATTTTTTTAAAGGGGTCATATGATGCGATTTCAATTTTTCCTTTCTCTTTGAAGTGTTACAAGCTCTTGGTGCATAAAGAACAATCACAACGCACTGGATAGCTGGCCAATCAGAGCACACCTCGCTTTTCAGACCGATGAGCTTTGTAAAAATCGACGTGTTTCAGAAAGGCGGGGCATAGAGGAGAAACAATAATGTACAGTATGTGGAAAATAATGTTTTTTTGGGGTAAACACATTTCATTACACCAAATACACCAAATAATAATAATTTCAGTCCCTTATCCAAACTTTGGTGCCTCAAAAATTTCACAAAGACATTGTAAAAGAAATCCATATGAATGGATTACTTTTATAAGGCCTTCATTAACTTTTTGAAGCTTGAAAATGTTGGTTATGTATAAGTTTATTATGTGCATTTCCCACAGTCTGGTAGTTTTCACTTTATACAAATTAGTTTAGGCTTGGAGTTTATAATAAATGTTGTTTATAATGAATGCCACTAGAATTTGCTTGTTCTGTTCTGAATAACAGTAAATGTAAAACATTGTTGTGGAGTGAGGGAAACTAAAATACATTTTTATTATGTCTATAAATTTTTTGTTTTTGTATTTTACATTATTTATGGATGTAATAAAAAATTTTTACTTATATATTATTAATGTGACTTAACAGTGTTTTTTTTTCCTCTCATAACAGGCAACGTATTTTCTGGAAAACACTGGAAATGACGACACAATTTTCATTTTTTGGGTCACTTTTAGAAGCACTAGGAACGAGAAGTAAGAAACTAAACAATTAATGTTTTGCGTCTACTTAACGATTCCAGTTTCTTAACAAGCTTATGTGTATTTTTTGCGATGTTTCATCTTCTTCAGTTAAAGGATGCAGACATTCAAGAGCACAAAATGAGCTGAACGAGGTACAGCAGGGGTTTAACAAACCTGAGAGAAGCTTCTCTGTGATTTCCATCAGGTCATGATAGTCTGCGTAAGCCATGTAGAACTCGCATGTGGTGAACTCTGGGTTGTGGGTGAGATCGATGCCTTCATTACGGAACTGACGCCCGATCTCATACACACGGTCGATTCCCCCAACTACCAACATCTGAAACATTGATGAAGGTTAGATACGATGCAATATAATTTAGGAATTTTACTTCTGAACTACTACTGCAGTGACACGTTTACCTTATGGTAAAGCTCAGGAGCAATTCTCATGTAGAGCTTCATATTGAGCTCATTGTGGTGGGTAATAAATGGTTTTGCTACAGCACCACCGGGTATCAGGTTCATCATTGGTGTTTCGATCTGTAAAACACATTCACAAATGGCAACCATTTAAAACTTGAAGGAACTCTCTCAGCAGACAACCGAAATCTGCACTGCTTTTCTTTGCAGAAATCAACCTCCTTACCTCAAGAAACCCAAGCTGGTCCAGAAAGCTGCGGAGATAGGTGATGATCTTGGCGCGGGTCACAAACTTCTGTCTCACAAAGTCATTAAGAATCAGGTCCAGATACCGCTGTCGGAACCTGGTTTCCTGAAGGAACAATGACAAAAAGATCATCATGTAGATCAGTCCATGCAACATTATAATAATAATAGGTTTTATTTATATAGCGCCTTTCATGACCCAAGGACGCTTTACATAAGGTAAATAACAGATAGTATACAACATATGAACAGCCAAACAGCAGACAGAGCTGAAATTATATGCAATATACAAGACATGTTACAAAACAAGCATAGAACAGAAAATTAAGGCAAGCAATCAATTAAGAAACCTTGTAAACAAGTGAGTTTTGAGAGCAGTTTTAAAGGTCTGGAGTGAAGAGATAACACGGAGATCTTGTGGCAGTTTATTCCAGAGCTTGGCAGCGGAAATCCAGAAAGCCCTACCACCCACACCAGAATTTAGGTACTGCAAGCAAATTTTACTGAATATTATGAATGAAGAATAACTGTGACTACACTGCATAACACATCAGATAAATTCATTAATGGGTACTAAGGCATCTACTGACAACTGTGACAATCTGTAAATGCTAAAGTCAATGTTGCATTGAGCAATAAGTACTATTCATAAAAATACTGAATATTATATATTAGGGCTGCACGATTATGACAAAAATCATAATAGTCGATTATTCCCTTGAAATTGTAATTACGATTATTAATTACGATTATCACAATTTACATTGAATGATGTCTATACCATTGTTTGACGCAACTGCATGCCGTATTTTTATATGAAAATAAACAAGCTGAAAACACTCAAACTTTTAGTGCTTTTCTATAGTATTAAGCCTCAAATGTCAACTATACATCAGATTGGTTTCTTCTTTAAATTATAAAAAAAGTAAAAATATGAATGGTATTATAATGTTATACTAAAACTAAAATCAAAATAATGGGAAAAACCCCTTAAGATCACATGTGGAAAGAAAAAAACACATTTTAAGCACGCAGAATAACATAAGTGGACTTTGAACGATTACGTAATTGTGGCATCCATAATTGTAATCGCGATTAGAAATTAGATTAATTGTGCAGCCCTTTTATATATTGATTCCTTTTGTAAATATCATGCAAATCCTCTATGAAAAAAAGTGTACTTAACTGCTCTGAATATGCACTTGTAGTGTACTTCAAATCTTAAAATTATATTTTCAAAAACTGTACTTGCAGATAATATAATTTTAATGAAATAAAAGGCCACTTTCATAACTTAGTAAATGTCTAAAAAGTTCATTTTGAAAATTTTTAATTAACTAAAAATGTCATTTTGTAATAATTTAAAATTAAAAGTTTTAAAGTACATTTTTAAATCATGTCTCATTTGTTTGTCGCGGTTTAAAATAGTACTTATTTTGATGTGTTGACTAACATACTAAAGCGCATGTAAAATACTACAAACTTCCACTTTTTGTGTTCACATAGTTCATATATTTTAAATGTGCTAAATTGCAACTTCATTACAAATGTGTAATTACACATATATTTCAATACACGACATACAAATTTCAATAGAACTTACATTAAAGTATATTTTAGTTTACCATAAATGCTTGTCTGTGCATTGAGCAGAACCCTTTAACCATATTTCAAAGCAAAGGTGAAATTACATATAAAGATGTACTTATATCCTACTTAAGTTAGTCAAAAAAGCACTCTAAGTGTCAACTAGCAATTAACATGCAATTATGTGTCTGAAAACATTAAATTCAGTCCCCACTTAAGTATATTCTTTTTAAATACTCTTTGTTTGTTTTTTAAGTATGCTAAAGTTCACTTCTTTTTCACAAGCAATTGCTGTGTTCAACAGCATGTTCGTTTTCGCTGTGTTACTGTACTGACACTAAAATGTAAATAAGAGTTAAAGAGGATGCCGAGAAGGAGCAAAACCGAAAGAAAGTCGTTATTTCCAAGGTGTTTCAACATCTAGATTATACCTTGTCTTTCAGGCCAAAGTGAAGGTGGGGAAGCATATGAAGGCATGGGGACAACAGGGTCATCTCGATCGGGATGATGCTCAACTCGCCTTTCTTTGTCTTGCCAGGGTTCCCCCGGACCCCAATGATGTCCCCACGCCTTAATTTGTTGTTGATGTGCACAAAATCTTCTTCTGATTTGTAGCTCCTAAGAATAGCAGACCAAAACCTGGTTATGTTACTGCAAAAAAAAAAAAAAAAAAAAAAAAAAAACATGGAGCAGAGTGCAAATCAGACCTGGAGTTGGCCATGACCTGCAGCTTGACGCCCTCTCCTCGCAGGTCATAGAACAGCAGCTTGGCACCTGAAGCCCTCTTGGCGTGGATACGACCTTTCAATCAAGCAAAGCGCAAAGGTACAAAATAAGAAAAGGCTCAAAATGTCTTTAAAAGGATATTCAAACAGCAGAAATGTCTCTTTTTGTTAATTTATCACGTTTCTAGGTGGATGAAAATCATAAGATCATTGACCAAAACAGGTTAAAGATACCGATTAATCGTTTTTAAACTATCTTCATTTTGAAGAACCAATATCAACTCTCAAATCTCTCAAAGATCTATCTTTTAGTCCAGTGAATCTCAACCTTTTGGCGTACCGGACCCCAGTCCAATTCAGAACCATCCTCAAGGACCCCCAGAACAAAATGGACTCATCTATGTATCCTTTGTATCTTTGTGAGGACCAAATGCAGTCAAGTATAATTCAAATTAGTTGACTTGTCCAGTATTTGGCCATATCATCAGCTATATTGGATTTTTCTTTCATGGGAACATGTCATATCACAAAAATTCATACTTTATACAGACCCCCTGGCCTTACGTCAAGGACCACTAGGGATCCATGGACCCCTGGTTGAGAAACACTGTTTTAGTCCATGCTGTTTTCTGTTGAAGCATGCACAAAATTTAACCAAATATTATTCAAGAAGTGCAATAAGATTTTTCTTTTCTTTTGAGCTTTCTGTCAATTGTATCACAAAGTTCATGCAATAAATGTCATTTTGATGCTCTTTAATGTGTTACATTAACACGTAGCACACATAAACCGATCATCACTTCCTCTTCACTTATTTCCCCTTTACTATCAAGTCTCATGTAATTGCTCAGTCTTTTAATCATGGAAATTTACATCATAAACGCGATAGTTAGCTAGAAAAATTAACTCTAGAGAGGGCAATTTTTATAAATATGCACTATTACATGTTCATTATATTTTAACTTAACCTGCTAGCAATGTCTTCATTATTTAAAGTATGTTTGAATAAATCAGTCTTGGAGACAAGTTTTTATTACAGTCACTGTAACAATGAATTGCACTTACTTACACTTGGGGGAAACAAAAAATGCATGGCAAGTTTATTTACCCAAATATAAACTGAAACTTCATTTTCGGCTTTCGGCTAACTGAAAACTTTAATTTCAGTTTCGTTTTCAGCTTTGCTCAATTATTTCAGTGCAAATACAAGCAGAAAACATTTACCTGACAAACTGAGGACAACATCTGTCAAGTGGTCCCCTGGCTGAAGGTTGTTGTATCGCTCAATGAACTCGGTAAGCGACAAGTCCACGTTGTATTTGTGAGGGTATGGGTCTTCAGCTGTTCCCTTCAAGGCTTGAATGGCTTGTGAACGTATCTTGAAGTATTGCTGCATTGAAAACAGAGAGATGAGAAGAATCTGTTACATTTCATTCTGAATCTATGTGACTTCCATAATCAATAATCAACGTACATTTGGGTCCAAGGTTTCCTCATCGTCCCCATACGCATTTTGCTGTGACTTGTCACTGTTCTCCTTCTGTTCCTGCTGTTCTTTGACCTTGGTTTCCTTCTCAGCTGCTTTCTTTTCAGCTTTCATGCGCCTTTTCAGCTCACTGAGAACAAACAAGAAAGAAGCTCAGTCGCCGGCCGTGGTTAAAAAA